GTTTCAGAATGGGCTTGTGAAGTGGTAATCTCAAGATGTGACTCCATAGATTTTACAAATTGATAATTTAATTATGATGCACAAGAGACATAGGCTGATGGTGTTAACTAGTAACAATGTAGGCCTTCCTTTTTGCTTGTGAGTATGACCAGACATGTAATGGTATTGGTGTGTATTGTCTCCGCTTTGAGCCTGATACTTGGTATCAGTATTTCCTACACTGTCAAAGAAATTGTGACCAATTGCTCTATCTGTGCTCATATCAGATATTTCCATTTGATATTAAATCAGCTCAATTGTCTGATGTAATTATTTCCAAGCATCAAATCAGACATTTGAGCTGATTCAAAATCACATGAATATAGCAGAAATTATCACAGATACAGCAGTCTGATGCAATCTCTATGCTGAACATGCAGTGCAATTGCAGCAGATAGCTGTATCTGTGATCATTTCAGATATTTCCATGTGATGTTTTATCAGTTGAAGTTTCTGGTGAAATTTTTGTACATTACATTGGACACTCCAACTGACATAACATCACATCAAGATATCTGATATAATCACAGATACAGCTATCTGAAACAATTGCTTTGGAATTGCATGGTTGGTGAGACAATCCACTGTCTTGGATTCAGTGGCTTTACCCAACGCTGCCACAGATACGGCATCTGCCCGTATCTGCCATGTATCACTATGTATCTGAGCCCCAATAAAAAAAAACTATCTGACCAATCTGCTTTTATTTGCAAGGAGATTCAAAAAATTTGGTTTTTGGCCATGCAGCTTTGCAGAATTCTCCATGATACACACAGTGTATCGTATCTGTGGCAGTGTTGCTTTACCCATGCAAGAAAATACATGTGTCTCCGTTTTTTCATCAATACAACTGAATATCTTGTGTATTGTATACATTTCTGGTGGGATCATGTCAGCCACAGAGCACCTTTCACAGTACGTGAAATGTACCTAGTAACTGCAAGGTGATAATTAATTGAACAAAAGTAAATTTTATACCTTGGTGTTAAAATAGGGCCTTAATAAAAAAACACGGTTTTTCCATGTGATCTTGAATAGTAACTTTCATAAGAATTCAATTCATTGGTCCTCCTCTCAAACATGCTTTCTTTCCTTGAGCAACACTGGGAAGTTACCTCATTAGTTATCTCATAGCTTTGATTTGTAACTTGAGGCCGGTTAAACAATAATGCAATACTTCAGCTATATAAATACAACTGATATTTTGTCCAGATGCTGTGGCCAAATTCAGTTACAGATATCTGGTGGCTTGAATAATTTTTTTTTCTCTTGCTTAAATTATCAAATTCAATATGGTAGAAGCATTATTGCCATTTTTTGAAAAATATATGAAGAGAGCCTGTTTGTTAATATCTACATGGCAAAAAGAAATCATTGGGTTCACATATAAAAGTTTTACCAAGTTAATAACCCACAAAAATAGCTGATAGCTCAACTTCCCAGTGTTGCCTTGAGCCCCTGCTATGTGTCACTTATTCTGACCAAAATTCTCCCCCATCAATCTGTCCTCCTCCGCATAAGTTCTAAGCTCTTAACACAAAAATATTGAATTGTTTACTTCCCAATATATAATTATCTGTTATGTTTGAAGCTATGGTGAGTTTAAGGAGGGTTGATGTCTACTGATGTTTGAACCCCAGGAGGATTCAATAGGAAAATCTGTGGTTCTTGTTATTCATTACCTCCCCAATGTTCACAGCTACTTATCAAACATATATCCTACCATCTAGTCTAGCACACTAGGGGAAAAAATCACCTAGATGGCCGCAGTTGAGATTTGCAGGTTTTGTACTCCCAATGTTGCTTGTGTTGAAAGTGCAATGTATCACAAAGTCAATACATCTGAAGTACAGTCACTTTGAAATTTGGAGAGTGGCTTTGTTTTGCATTTTGTATGAAGTAAATGTTGAGTCACATATAAACAACCCATCTTTCATTAGAATCCTATTGGTAAACTGGAAGAAGTCTGCTGGAATTGAAGAATCATGAGTTGATTATGTAGGAGGATGAATTTATATTGGATTGATGAGCTGGATTACGGATTATTGGATTATGTATTAGGGCAGTTCTGTCATAAACCAAAATAGATCTGCACTACAGGAACTGAACCTGTGAACCCAAACTTCATGAGTGATGCTTTAACCACTAAGCTAAGTGCGCTAATGCTTGCTGGGCTCATTTTGTCTAGAGATGTTCCACCCTAGTACTTGTATCCTGGGATGATAAGTCTTATTTTTATATGCTTATAATTATATCAGGATCAAGACTTACACAGAGTGAGTGTCAGATTGCTTAGAGTAGGAATGGAATATAACAAGTTCATGTAAAGCAATCTCTCTGCTGATTTTTTTAACACTTATGCTTGAATTTTGCTTCTAAAGGGGAGCTCCACTGCAAACTTTGATATAACTTTCCAGGTCAATCAGCAGAGCCAAGTTGAACAAGGTTTCACTGCTGATTTTTTTTTTAAAAAAAACACGAGTAGATGAACTTCCCTATTGTGATGGATTTTCTTTCATTCTTATCCTTTCCCTTGATCAGATTTTGTTTGATGTGCAAGTTTAAATGCTTTAAGGGGGTTCATGACGTACTGCTGGTTTTGAAATCAGCAGTCAAACTTTGTTGGAATGGCTGTTTTAAGGTTTATGGGAAAACAAAATAGTTTAGTGGGAGGTCCCCCTTTGGATTCAAAATCCCACATTTAAAGTTCATCAAGTTTGTGCATCAGCAAACAAACCTTATATATTCAAGACCAGCAAAGGATTGGCTGGAACATTGTGCCAACTAAGATCACGGCAGCCCTACACACACTAATTAGAGATGTCAGCAGGTACCCAGAAATGGGTGCGGGTGCAAGTGTGTCAGTGGTGGGTAACTCCGTGGTGACTAGAATCTGCTCAATGGAAGTTTACTGGTGTTGACCAGTGGCTCCAAGTCGTAGAAAGAGTCTAATACAGTCCAAGGTGTTCATGCTCAGCCGTTGATAAGTTTTTGAGAAGTTCATGCTTGCAGTTCCAGACAGTGATGTGGTGATTTTAGGGGAACAGACCAATTTGAAGTAGTGATGAGTTGATGTATCTCCAAATGGAAGAGGAATGATTTGAACTAAAAGGGTGTTATTATTTTTGTCTCTTCTGAAAGTCTTGGGAACAAGCAAACTCAGAGCATCTCTAACGGTCCGGGGGGCAGTTGACGCGCGTTCCCCGGCCCGCAAACACATTTCACACAAGTCGCGGGTCAGCTCGAATTGTGGACTGGCGCTTTGTGACCCGCCATCCACCTCTCTTCTGCTCTACGAACATACAGAACCCCTCATATTGCCGCCATGTCCAACAACCTGGAACAGATTCTCCAATGGATGGATGACAACAATGACATTCTTGCCTCTCTTCAAACCACAACTGCTCTAATTATGAAGACAAAAGAAAAAAAAAACATGTCGGCTCAACACCCGGAAGAAGAGAAATCCACCGGAACCAACTTCAAGGACACGAGCAGTTATACAACAATTACTTTTCCAAAAACTGCACTTACATGGATTACCTCTTTCATCGTTGATTCAGGATGTGCAGGTCCCTATTCCTGAGAATTGTTGAAGATATTGAAAAAGCCAAACGATACTTCCTACAAAAACGTGACGCGGCTGGAAGGCTAGGATTCTCACCTCTTCAAAAGGCAACGGCCGCACTGCGAATGCTAGCGTATGGGTGTAGTGGGGACTCAATTGATGAGTACCTTCGAATGAGTAAGTTTATTATTATTGTTTTTTTTTTTAATCATCTTTCCCAGTCTGATTTATATGTTTGATCTACCAGGCGAATCAACTGCAATCGAATGTCTCAAAATATTTTGCCGAACTATTGTTAAGGTTTACAGCGATGAATACTTGAGAAAGCCAAATGAAAGCGATGTGACAAGACTCCTGGAGGTTGCGGTGGAGCGTGGTTTTCCTGGGATGATGGGATCCCTAGACTGCATGCACTGGTGCTGGAAAAATTGCCCAGTAGCTGACCAAGGGAAATATTCCGGAAAAGAGAAGGAGCCAACGGTTGTTCTTGAAGCCGTTGCCTCGTACGACCTTTGGATATGGCACGCTTTTTTTGGCCTTCCAGGTACCCTCAACGATATCAACATACTTGACCAATCACCAATCTTTCAACAGCTTCAGGAAGGTGAAGGAGTCTCAGTATCTTACAAAGTCCATAACAACCAATAAAATCTTGGTTATTACCTCACGGATGGAATATACCCTCCATATGCTACATTGATCCAATCAATCTCTGAACCACAAGGAAAAAAGAAGAAGCATTTCGCCAAGATGCAAGAGGCGTACCGTAAAGACGTCGAACGAGCCTTTTTCAAGCTCAGTATGCCATCATACAATTCCCTGGTCAATTTTGGAAATACACCAACCTCTCTGTGATCATGTTGGCTGTGATAATCCTTCATAATATGACAATTGAAGACAAGGCCGGGACGGAATTCAATGGTGACTTCAATTATCATCAAACACCACGCACACAAACGGTCCGATGGACACAACCTTTGATCAGTTTTTGCTCCGATACCAGGCCATCCGAGATCACCGATCTCATGCGACTCTCCAGCAGGATCTCATTGATCATCTCTGGACCAAATTTGGCTCTGATGAAGCCGATTCACCATAGGCCAGCCATTTGGTTCTTGTTTTTGCTTGTTGTTTATTTTGTTTCTCACTTTATTTATGCTTGCTTATTTTTCTTCTCACTTTCTTTCTTTTTTTTTTCTCTCTTGTTTTGATTGCTTGTTTTTTTTTCTCACTTTCTTCTTGGTTGCTTATTTTTTTGTCACTCTCGATCATATTTTTTCTTAAGATAATAAATGCTTTGAATTCAATCAGATTTTTCAATCACATTGACTTGAGACAATGAAACAATATTCGACAAGATATAACTGAGAGTGGAGTGATTGGTAAAAAAAAATTACTCCTTGTCGGCAACCTCTTCTTCCACCACCACCTCCTCCTCCTCCTGTTCTGCCTCCTTTCCAGCACCATCCGCCTCGGCAATCTCGATTACTTTGTTTGCGGCTTTCTTGATATTGGTATTGGTTGAGGTCTTCTTGCTTTCTTCCTTCATAGCCTTTTCCTTTTCTTCTTGCGCTTTTTTTTCCGCGTCTTCTTTCTCTTTTTTTTGTTTTTCTTCCCTTGCCTTATCTTTTTCCAACTCGCGAGCAATAATAGCCTTCTTTTTCTTTTGATAGTAAGCGCGACTATCTTCGTCCATCAAACTGAGGTCTTTAGACATGACCGCCTTGTTGGAGTTTGATTGCATTGCTTCTTGCATAGATGACAATTGCTCTTGAGAGATCTGAACGAGATCCTTCTGCATGGCCACTATCTTCTCAATCGTCGCCTCCTCGTTGCGTTTTTGTTTGGCCGCTTTTTGACCTTCAATACGCATGTTTCCCAAAACGGATCGCCCGGCCTCAGATTCTGTATCATCAATATCCATAACCGCAGGGGTGGAACTTGGAATTTCAGACAAAGTCGGAGCTGGAGTCAATTTTGGTGCTTTCTTTCCTCGCGCGTCATTCTCTTGCTGAGCAGCCTGCCATTTCGGAGTGTCCTTCAAGATTCCCCAGCAATGGTCAAGGTTGAAAGATGTTTCGAATGTCATCTTGTATAGTTCTTTGGCCTCGGTAAGCTGTGCCAAAGGTCTTGTATATTAGTATATATAGATATAAACAAGAAGATAAAAAACGTACAATATCTTCGCAAGTCTTTCCACTTTTCATGCGGTGTTCGACATTTGAGTAGCATCCCGAAAACTTGTTGACCAACTTCAGTATGAGTGCCCAGCGACATTTGACAGCACCGACCGGTCGTATCAGAAGCTCCTTGAAGCCTTTTGAATTCTTCTTTTCTTTATTGTATTTGGTGATAAGTTCGGAAAGGTTTCTGTGAATTCGTTCCCAGAAGGTTGACGCCTTCTGTCCTTTCCCAACAATGGCATCCCAACTTGTATTCAACCAAGCAATGCACAACTTTTTATCTTCTTCAACGGACCAGCGAGGGAAGCCCTTCTTGGGTGCAGATTCTGAGGCTTTTGGTGTCGGCTCATTGTCAATTTTTGAAGTTTCAGTCGGTTGTGGAGTAGCTGAAGTTTTGGTCGTTTTTGGAGCAGTCAAAGTTTTGGCCAGCTTTGGAGTAGCAAGATTATCATTGTTGGTAGTTGCTTTTTGATTTTTTTTTTTTTCCTTTTTTCTTCCTTGGGGAACTTTGAGATGGGGTGGCTGCCATTTCTGTGTTGGTGTGGTGGGTTGATGGAGGTGTGGTGATGGTGATTGGAGATGAAGGAACGAATTGCGTCTGGGAGGTGACCCGCTGAACTCAGCAGGTCATCGCGGGTTTGACTGCCCCCCGCAATGTTTTCCGGGTTGATCCGCGGGTCCGTTGGAGGTCAATTTTTGAACTCAGGCGGTCAAAGTTTGCCCCCGGTGGCCCGATTGCGGGTCCACTAGAGATGCTCTCAGAGAGTACAGCTTATACATGTATCTACAAGATTCCACTAGATATAAGCATATTCAAAGTATGTTAATAATAAAAGGAGTGAAATGAATGAAAAGGAGTGAAATGAATCAAAATGAGTGAAAGGTGTGTGAAATTTGTGAAGAGTGCAGTTGGTGTAGCAAAACAATGAGTTGACAAGTTAAGGGGAACTGGGTTTTGCTTGCCAGCTATTCTGATTTGATTCTCTACATGTCACAATCTGTGACATTCACATTTTTTTCCTAGTTCTTATACTGGATTCATCAGAGCTTGGGAGGATTTCCATTTTCCTCATCCTTTCCAACTCTTTTGTCTCCAGGGTGTTCATCTCAACAGATACAACCGCCTTGCTGGCTGCAATAAATTCTATTGTTTCAAACTGCTTTGTTACAGATTAATTTCTTATTTCTTATTTCTCTTTGAATACATTACTTTTTAAAGAGAAATACAATGTTAATTTTTGGTTTTCCTTGTCTTAGATTAAACATTTCACTTATTCTACTAATCTTCTTGATTAACTTCTTGATTAATCTCTTTATCTGAAATCACTTTCATAAATATTTTTTGAATTTTGCTGAGGGCTGTCACTGTGCCTACTTGTCACAAATGTGAACTGCCCTATTCTTGATGTCCTTTTCAGCTTTGCAACCACACTTGTTTGTGGTTGGCTTGTTTGTGGTTGGCTTGTTTGTGGTTGGCTGTTTGGCTTGTTTGTGGTTAGACTGTACTGTGTCTGTCACAGGTTCTGAGGTTTTCCCGAGCACGGATCAAGGTTTGACAGCATACATCCGATTATTTCAAATTACATACTTTCACAGCAGTCGGAGTGCTTACCTAAGCAGGCTGTCCGTTCAGCCTGGTCCAGTCCAACCCCACCACAGTCTCACAGCCAACCAAACTTCTACTTCTACAATCTCTTGACCAAACCCTCACTCTCCTTTCCTTTCCCTTCTTCATCTCATTCCCTTCGATCCATCACAAAAATTATCATCAACCTCCAAACAACAAACAACCTTCAAACATGTCGCAACCTCACCACGATCTATCCCGGAGACAAAACCAAGCCCAACAACAGAGTCTGTCTATCTAAATCCAAATCACATCTGTATAAACTAAACTGACTATGACTCATTCACGTAGCATTCGGATGTCAAACTTATCACTCCCCCACCCCGAACCAGGTCGTCGAGGCCTTCTCGACTGCCACCCTAGAATGGGACCCACACTGCTTCGACTCGGCCAAGAATATTGACATCTACCTCCAATCACTCGATGTAGCCCAGCCGATCCATGTGTGGAAGAACGTGGTAGCCTCCAGCGCCAAACTGTCGACCCAATTCATCCCCGATTGGTGGAACAGCACCCAATCCGTCTCCCTCCAGCTCGTCATCACCCCCTCCGACCTGCCCCTATGGGCCGGCCTCGGTCCAGGGCCGATCTTCTTTGCTCACTTCAATGGCTCCATCCCCGCCGGCGCACCTACCTCGGCTCACGACGGCAAACAGCTCGGAGGCCCCAGCATCGAGTACATTACCGACCTCTTCCATCGCTCCCACCACGCACTCAGTGGTGGCAAGCTTGGCGCAGCAATCTTCTTACCCCTCTTGGCCGTCGCCATCGCTATCTCGAGCTATATCTTCATCTCCCGACGCAGAAGTGGCCAGGCCAGCAAACGCTGGAGTGAGTACGTCGACAAGCGGATGTCGGTCATGGGCTCCCAGACCTGGGACAGCCCCATGGCCGGATCGGACCCCCTTCCCTCCGTCCGAGGGATCCCCGGCAGTCGGGTGGCTTCCATGTACCGCCACTCAGCCTCGCTTCCCCAACGAGACTCGATGATTCATGCTCCCAATGCCAGGCTGAGCACCTTCAGTCTCAACCGTCCCGTCTCAGTCAGACCTCCAACCCTTCCTGGTCACCATTCTCGTAACACCTCCTTCGCCGGTAGTGCCGCCAGAGTCTCCTTCGTCGACCGTCAATCCGGGATCTCTTTCCCTCGTCCAGGCTCAGAGTTTCACCCCAACCCCAACGAGCCGCCAGTCGCTCCTTTCCGACCTGCCCATCAAGCTACCTCGAGCATGAGCAGGAGCGTCAGCAACTTGCGCTTCGAACTGGACGCCAAACCGACCACTGATTCTGTACGTCCCCCCCCCCCTTCCTCAACCCCCAAAACACAGATTCTCATGCTAACCAAACCCTTCATGATCTTACAGCCATCTTCTAGTAAATCGAAGCCGCTCAAAGTAGACACGGAGGTGCTATCGGACCGGGCCTCGAGTGCGGGCTCCTCGGATAAGCAGTCGGCCTCGGGGATGCGCCGCCTAGACGGAGCCTCGACACTCAGTCCGGACGAGGCCCTTCGCCAGTACACCCTGTTCCGTGGCCGCGACGAAGAGCGCGCTTCGACACCCAGCAACGCGGCCAGAGCCGACCGAGGCTCGCCCAAGTGAGACTATTGTCTCCCCTTCGACGCCATCACCCTCCCCCTTTTACGACTCCTGCGCTTTACAACCTTCTCTCTCTCTCTTCATTCAAACTTAAATGCCAAATTAACGATCACACGAAACAGTCATCAACCGTCTGCCTCGTC